ACCCAGTTAGTGAGCATAGTGTCCAATAGTTTTCAATCCTTGTCCTCCTTCCTCTAGTAGTCCCCAGTGCCTATTGCTGCCATCTTTATGTTCATGAGTACCCAATGTTCAGCTCCTATGTATAAGTGAGAACATGTGGTATTATTACAAACTACTTTTATGTTTTTAGTCAATTTTTGCGTATGAGGGTAGAGGCTGCAATATACTATAGTATACATTGTGGAGAAGTAGGAAACTCAATGGAAGCCAAATATATGATGGACGGAAGGACACATGGACAAGTCACTGGCACTCTCTGAACCTCAGTTTCCGCACCTGTAAAATGGGGATAATATACCTACCACATGAGAATGAGTATAAAATGCTCAGCACAGTGCCTATCATATAAATAATAACCTCAAATGTTAGCTAACATTATTATCATCATTATCGTCACTACCTACTACCACCACCATGTCGTGGCCATCGTCAGCATCCTAGCAGCAGCAGCAACATAGCGCCACCAGAGCAAGCCTTCCCATCATCTCTTGAAATCCCACTCCCCAGGCAGATCCTTACTGTTCATCGCAGAATTTCTCAACATGTTCTTCTCCAGTATAGAGGAGATCCAACCAAGGGAAGGGGCTAAGAAACAGTATGTCAAAAAAGTCTTAAATATTGAAGAAGGCTGAGGGTATTGAGGAGGGAAACAAATTACTTCAAACACAATGACAATCCCCAGGAAATGTAAATTGGTTGGACACCCTTTATGTTATTCAAGCGTTCCTTACAGATAATAATTCACCTCACCTCATTTGGACCCCTTTGCAAATGGCGGCTGCCAACAAATATCCCTGGTTAAATACAACTTAAGAGAATTGCTCAGAAATGGGCATGTTCCGTGCTCCTGCCAGGACAAAGTTAAGATCATTTGTTCCCTACTCAATTCATCTTTGACCCCCAAACACATTCTTCAAGAGCAATCTTCCTCTTTAGAAGTTCCTCTCTTGGGTTTTAGAGAACTTTTTGGCTTGAACTCTTTCTAAAATTAAAGCCAACTGCTGTTAGCTCTCAGATGCAGTGATATTTCACTCTGGCCAGGGCTGACTATCACAGACGCATCCCAAACCACATAAGTTCTTATTGTTTAAACTGTCTTAAGCAGCTGTTAAAACATACCCTAAGATATCAAAGCCACTCTAATTAACTTCCTGCTTCTTTGGGACTTCAAAGTCTTTCAAAAAGTTTTAAATAGGGTTTTTATAGAGAATTTGACCTAATATTTGAAGAAAATTTTGCAAGCTTGCCCAAGAGACTCCAACTTCTCCTTCCTTCTTCCACTCCCATTCCCTCCTCACCCCCCAGAATCTTAGTGTTCTAAGACTAGCTGTGAGAATTGAGGAGAAATTGTAAAATCTGCCATACCAAAAAGGTAAATCTCTTTACTCGCATCCATGCTACTTCTCAGGGTGGTCACTGACATCCCATGTAAACGGCCCTCCCTGTGACACCCCTTCTCAACTTGGCAACCCTTTGCCCATCCCTCAAACCAAATATTCTCTGTGAAGTGCCCCTAGCTCGCTCAGCGTGAGAGCAGTGCTCTCTCTTTTCCAGCGCCCACACAATCCCCACATCCCTGCTTGGCTTTTATCACGATGAATTGGAATGTGTCCATTTACGTGTCTGTCTCCCTGTCTAGACTATGAGGTCCATAGGGCAGGAACTGTTTTGTATTAAGCTTTGTGCTCCCACAGCCTAGCACAGGGCTCTGCAAACCCATGAACAGGACTCAATAGATGTCTGATAAATGACTGAGTCCCAACTCATTCTGGGGGAGTTTGGGTTGTATTTTAATGTATCCATTCCTTATTAGTCTTTGACCTCACTCCCCAGGTTTTCCATAAACATCATCTTAAAGGCATTATACCAAGGGAATCGCTGCTCTGAGAAACAGTGTCATAAAAATTAGCTAAAACTTGGAAATAAGGCAAAAGTGGTGAGTGACACACCTTTCCAAGTCCTCCAAAGAATTTTCTAGGAGAATATACTTAGTTCATATCATTGCTTCCCAGTGACTAAAGGTCTCTGACTTAGTGAAGTTATCTATTATCTTGTACATTTTTGTCCAGTAGAAACACTGATCATTTCTGTCTGCTGCACCATATAACCTCAAAGATTTGTGGCTTGTTGGGCATTAACCAGTTTATATCTAACCCAGCAATCTTATCCTAACAATTTTTTTTATTAAATTGCCTATAAATATCCTTACTTCTTAGTCTTTGAACAGGGTACACCATTTTACTGGTTCCCTCATTAATTAATGAATTAAATAAAATTTTTGGTGGCACAGGCTTGTAGTCCTAGCTACTTGGGAGGCTGAGATGGGAGGATCACTGCCCAGGAGGTCAAGGCTGCAGTGAGCCATGATCACACCATTGCACTCCAGTCCAGGTGACAGAAAGAGGCTCTGGCTCAAAAAAAAAAAAAAAAAAATTAAGTGTTTCTTTTGCATTTACCTGAATCAGATTTTACCTTTTTAACAATTTTTTTAATAAAAGTCATAATCCACAGTGTCAGTACAAAACCAAAAGGTCTACAGGGTAGGTGCCATGGAGTAGCAGAGAGGCCTGGGCTGGGTGTGCAGGAAGCTGGCTCTGCTAGGAACTCTCTATAACCTCAAGGACCTCCCTTGTGCTTATCTGTCACAGGACAATATCCTAAGCTCACTGTATCCCTCACAGGGTTACTGAGATAATCAAATGGATCAATTTACTTAAAGAGCTTTGGAAGAGACTAAAGTACCCGTCCTGATGGAGCATGGTGGCTCATGCCTGCAATCCTAGCACCTTGGGAGGCCGAAGTGGGTGGATCACTTGAGGCCAGGAGTTCAAGACCAGCCTGGCCAACACGGCGAAACCCTGTCTCTACTAAAAATACAAAAATTAGCCTGGCATAGTGGTGCGTGCCTGTAATTCCAGCTACTCGAGAGGCTGGGGCACAAGAATTGCTGGAACCTGGAAGGCAAAGGTGGCCATGAGCCGAGATTACACCACTACACTCCAGCCTGGGTGACAGAGCAAGACTCTGTTTCAAAATAAATAAATAAATAAAGTACCAGCCCACTGTGAAGCTCTTATAAGGGAAGGCCAGCTTTTCCCCTAGAAAACAATGGTGAGAAGGACAATACATGGAAGGAGACCAGAATGAACCTAGATAGGAAGGAGCCGCTGCCATCCCACCCCACCCCTCCAGCCCCAGGTTAAACCACTGTCAGCTCCTGCCTGGACATCGGCAAGAGCCTTCTAAAGCATCCATTCTTGCCTCCATCCCTATCCAGTCTCCAAACAGCAACAAGTGTTCTTTCCAAACTGTAGGAAGATCATGTCAAGCCTCTGCTTCAAGCCCTCCAGAGGCCCTCCAACATTCTTAGGATAACGTTCACACATCCCTCTTGGTCCACAGGGCACTGTGCAATCCAGCCCCCCATGGCTACTTCTCCAAACTCATCTCAGGGATTTCTCATCTTCACTCTGTGCTCCGACTTCACCGGTGCTGTTAGGCTCCTCAGGCAGGCGTAGCTCTCTCACCTCAGGGCCTTTGCACTTGTTGTTTCTTCTGCCGTTCCCATCCCCCTTTCTTCATATTACTGGCTTCTTTTGATGGTACCTTAAATTTCACACACACACGCCAGAAAGAACATTCTTGCCCACCCTTGCCAGAAGTATATCTACCACGATTCTCTCTCTAGCTCTGTTCTTAGTACTCTCCAGCATGGGAAGATATTTATATATGGTCTGTCTTCCCCATCAGCAAGACTGCCTTGTAGTTGCCCTAGTGCCTGGCACATAGGAGGCGCCTGATACATATTTGTTGAATGCATGAGGATAAAGGCACAAGATATCCAGCTGCCTCCAAGTAGCGGAGGTCATGCAGGATGGACACATTTCTGAACCCCTGCAATGCAAGTTCCTGAATCCCAAGTACATATTTCAAAAGACTGTAACCACGAAGAAAACTCTCAGGCTCGCAAGGCGTCAGTTCAGTGCTGCTTTCAAGAACAGGGCTCCTCAGAAACGCTCTGCCTAAGGAACAGCAAGTAACAACAGGTCTCACCAGCACTTCATTTCGTAACTCCAAAGATATCGAATCACTTCATGAGAAGGGAACAGCCCTTCCTACCAAGAATGAAACATTACCCAGAAACACGACAGCATCTGTACCCAAGGGCTAGGCTTGAAGCAGATGAAAACAGCAACCAACTGGAATTCACGGATGTTTCAACAGCACATTGGGGAGAGAAAATCCCAGGCTGCCTCACAGGATTCTGCTCGAGGTTTGCTTCAGGGCATCCAATTACACAAGCTCCCTCTCCACAAGCCTTAATCAGAGCCGCAGGGCGCAGCTCCCTTTCCAGGGGCTTAGGGCTTTACAGTGTCTGTGATCACTCTTGCCAGCCACTCCAGTGGCTGCAGCATGAGACCCGTACCTTCAGGATGCTCCCATAATGCCCTGGGCGGTGCCGGCTCACCTCCGTGAAAAGATACCTTCAACAAGCAATGCTGCCTAAGAGGTGCTGGTTAATAGGGTGCTTGTCTCCATTCACATTTTTCATATCAAGGATATCAAACAGCAGCAAAAGAGGTCATGGTAGCAAAAAGCTATTTCTGGGAAAAGCGTCTGATGGGGGAAGGGCCCAAAAAGATTTCATTCACTATGTGACTGGCCCCGTTGAGTTATCTGGAAATCAGAGGCTGCTGGAAACCTGCCCCTGGAAGTCCTTCCCCACAAAGGCTTGTGGCCAACGGGAGTGCTAAGGCAGGGATGCCAACAGGGCTTTCTTGCTTTGGGGGAAATATTAGGTTGTAGCCCAAGATAAGTTCATTCTAAGCAGCTGGGCAGAGAATACTTATCTTCAAGTGTTTACCTTTTTCAGATGCAATAGAATATTTTTTCTGCACCCGTCAACCTGCCACCCGCAATCAAAGGCCAGGCTGTGGCCTTCACAGCCAGGACCTACCCACCTGTGCAACCTCTGCCCAGACACCCAAGTCCTATCTCAGGATTCCAAGTTGAAGAGTTTCTCCTATCACTTCCAACCCCTTGCCTCCGTGAAGAAGTTCTTCCCCGAAACGCAGCAAACTCTTCTTGAAACTCAGACAACGACACGAACGAGCTTGTCGCCATGCTTTGTTTAACTGTTTTTTTCTCAGAAATATTCTTGTGGCCAAAAATAGAACATTTTCCGTTCCGGGGAACAAACAGCATCCATGGGAATTAAAGTAGTGCCTCATGCCTCTCCAGAAAATTCCTGCACGCACACTCATGCACACATAAGCTGCTTGCAAGTTCCAAAAAGTCGCTTTCTGTAGGTACAGCGGTGAACAGGAGCCAAAAGTCCTCTGTTCATTTTCTATCCAAGAAAATTGCCAGATAAAAAACACAAGGGCACCTCAGGGAGGCTTTATAGGAAAAATCTAACTTAATCTGGTGTAATGATTTTGAAATTGGCCCCATTGTCCACCCCTCCTCCCTCTCACCACCATCCTAGAATTTGTCTCAATACTCACTCCTCTAAAATTCCAAAACGTCACGGCCTTTATTCTGGCAAGCTACTGTTGGATGGTTAGCCGTGAGGTTTCTCTAAACTTACGCCTTCGATGGAATCAGAAACGACACATTTAGGAAAAAATTCTCAATCTTAAATACTGAACTAGGTAAAATGAAGCCTTGTGTAAAATGTCAGAAAAATAGTAATCCAGAAATTAGGCTACTAGCACAAGATGCGGCAGTATTTTACACACTCTTACATGTCCTACAAATTTATTATTGTCAGCATTTCCATAATCCTCTTTAATGAGACTTACATGGCTACGATGACATTTCTTATTTTTACGTTGGAATATGCAACCCATTGACTATCCGCCACCTCTCCAAAACAGGGATTGTATTAGCTATGAGGTCTGCAGGGGCTATGTGGTTTTAGTTTTGTTTTGTTTCTTTGTTGTTGTTGTTGTTGTTGTTGTTGTTTTAGAAAAGGAGTCTTGCTCTGTCATCCAGGCTGGAGTGCAGTGGCACAACCTTGGCTCACTATAACCTCCGCCTCTAGGATTCAAGCAATTCTTTTGCCTCAGCCTCCCAAGTAGCTGGGATTACAGGCTCATGTCACCATACCCAGCTAATTTTTTGTATTTTTAGTAGAGACGGGGTTTCACCATGCTGGCCAGGCTGGTCCTGAACTCCTGACCTCGTGATCCGCCTGCCTCGGCCTCCCAAAGTGCTGGGATTACAGGCGTAAGCCACCGTGCCCAGCTGGGGCTATGTTTTTATATGCAGTTGGTAAGAATTTAGAAATGAGGATAAGAAAAAGGAAAGGTCCTTTAAAATAACTGGACCTATTGCTGACACCAGAAGTAGGAAGAACTAATAAGCCAATGTAGGGACAGTGAAGGAAAGACCAAGAAATGGGGCAAAGCATAAGAATAGGGGAGGAAAACAGGAAGTAAGAGACAGCTAAGAATCTGAACATCAGACACTAATTGATGGGTGAGTGGAGGTGAACCAAAGTAAACTGACTGACCCAAGAGGGGCTGTGGGAAAACAAGTATGGCAAGAGAGAGGGGACAGGAAGGCCAAAGGGAGAAGGAGGCATATAGTCTAGTAGTTAGAGAACAGTTATTTACCAGTTGGGTTACATTGGCCAGTTCACCATTCTGAAGCTCAATTACTTGGTATATTAAGTGGAGATACTAGAATCTCATGCAGGAGCATGTGGATTAAATGAGTTAATACATAAGATGCTTAGAACAGTGGCTGGTTTAGAGTAAACATTCAACAAAGGTTAGCTATTATTACCAAAAGACAAACATATTCCGTATTTCCATCAGAGAATATTTGCTTATGAGCTAGACCTTCAGTTATACTGTCCTTGAATTCTTCTAACACATATGGAAGCACAAAAATTATGAGGGAGCCGCGAACCCAAGTGCAGGTGAAAGAGATTACAGGATAGTGGTCCAGATGCTGACAAGTACTTGCAACAATTAGCCCCCAGAGATTGAACGAAAGGGAATTCGTAGCTGAGAATTTATCACAACCACTGTTCCCATTTTCAACTTTGATACTTCATTCAGTCAACAAACATCATGCAAGCAACTCTTGAAGCCTGCACACATTTGGTCTCGCCCCAGCTTTTTCTGGAATCAACTTGAGCCCCTTCCACCAACCTCACCATTTTGTAGCTGCACCAGGGTAATTATTCAACAGACATTTCTTGTTCTTATGATCCTGCCCTCCTGCATTTGCTCAAGTTGTTTGCTCAAACTGGAATTTCCTTTCCTATTTCTGTAGTCTAGCAAGATATTAGTCATCCATGCAGGCCAAATGTTATGTTGGTTTTTGTGCCCTCCCTTCTCTTCTCCCCCATTGTTCAGCAGGATGAATCCTCCTCACCTCAGTTCTCTTGGCGTACAAGTGGTAAATATTAATACATACACCTCATTGTGGATTGAATTGTGTTGCTCAAAGATGATATTGTGAAGTCCTGACCCTTTGTGTGTGACCTTATTTGGAAACAGAATCTTACAGATTACAGAAGTAATCAAGTTAAAATGAAGTCATTAGGGTGGTCCCTAATCTGACTAGTGTCCTGATAAAATAATAAAACTTGGAGGCCGGGTGCAGTGGCTCAGGCTCACACCTGTAACTCCAGCACTTTGGGAGGCCGAGGAGGGTGAATCACTTGAAGTCAGGAGTTCAAGACCACCCTGGCCAACATGGCGAAACCCTGTCTCTACTAAAAATAAAAAATTCGTCAGATGTGGTGGCACACACCTGTAATCCCAGCACTTTGGGAGGCCCCATGGCTGGCAGATCACTTGAGGTCAGGAGTTTGAGACCAGCCTGACCAACATGGTGAAACCCTATTCTACTAAAGATACAAAAATTAGCTGGGCATGGTGGCACACGCCTGTAGCTGCTCTAGAGGCTGAGGCAGGAGAATCGTTTGAACCAGGGGAGTGGAGGCTGCAGTGAGCCAAGATTGTGCCACTGCACTCCAGCCTGGGCGACAGAGCAAGACTCCATCTCAAAAAAAAAAAAAAAAAGAAAGAAAGAAAAAGAAAATTTGGACACAGAGACACATGTACAAAGGAATGACACATGGAGAACTCCAGGGGTAGGTAGAGGATTAGAGTGATGCATCTACAAAGTCAAGGAGCCACCAGAAGCTGGAAGAGAGGCATGGGCCCGACTCACCCTCACAGCACCCAGAAGGACCCAACTCTGACATCGCCTCGATTTCGGACATCTAGCCTCCAGAGCTGTGAGAGAATACATTTCTATTATTTAGAGCCACCCAGTTGTGACACTTTGTTAGGACAGCCCCAGGAGACTAATCTGCACCTCAACCACAGCACATGCTTGGTCTCCATGGGAGATCCCTGAGGTCAGGAACCGAAGAGCATTTGTCTCCAGATTCTCAGACCTCTGACATCATCTGGCAGGTAAAAGGCTCTCTAAACTCTAAATTCTTATTAAGTAACACTCTAGGAGTCCACAGTCTAGACCAGGGGTCGGTAAACTCCTGGCTTGTGGGCCAGATCTAGCCCACTGCCTGTTTCAGTAAATAAAGTTTTATTGGAATATAGCCACGCTCATTCGTTTGTTTTGTCTATGGCTGATTTCACACTAAAACAGCAGAGTTGAGTAGTTGCAACAGAGACCATATGGCCTGTAAAACTTAAAATATTTACTCTCTGGCCCTTTACCAAAAAATTTTACTGACCCCTGGTCTAGAAGGAAAGAAACATAAATGAAGCATAGCAATAGACTAAAATCAGTTCTATAATATAACACAGATAGGTGCAGAGAAAAGAATTATGGGTTCAATCAGTATTTATAGAGAAGATGACATTTTTAAAGTGAGAGTCTAGTTGGAAAAGTCAAAATACATCATTTATTCCCTCTATTGTGTCCTCTGAACTAACAACCTTTACACTAATGGTTGCAGAGTGGTTGAGGGCTGGAGTTATAGAGCTGGTTTGGGGGAAAACAATGATGGGTTCATTCTCTACCTATTGAGTTGGACTGGCCAGTGGCATAGCCAAGACGAGATGTCCACTCACTAAACATTGCTGAGAAGTCTAGGTCAGAGGCACAGATTTGGGGCTTAACACAATACAGATGAAGCCCTCACAGGAAGAGAGAAGCTTACCCAGCAAGAGTAGGAGGTGAGAAGACAGTTGCACAGGAAATTCAGGGACCTTCAGAACTTAGCAGCAGCAAAGGAAGAGGAAAAGCCCCTGAGAGGCCTTTTTACAGAGAGGAGAGACAGGAAAAAAGAGGGAACGCTGTCCCTTGGGCCCAGGAAAAGAAGGTCCAGTAATGTCCAGAGGCCAGGAGAATGAATCCAATATATTTAACAACCATGAGGCCAATGGCCTGATGTCAGTCATTTCAGCTGCTCATCACTGGCACAAGTTACTCCTCAAACTGAACCATAGGAAAAGGGAACTTCAGTTATCATGAATAGAAAACAATAGAGACTAAGAGAAAGAAAAACAAAAATCAAGAAAGGAGATGGAGAAAAGCACAGAAATTGAAGATTACAGGGCTGAAATTAACACCTCATCCATGAAATCTATGTTATGCTTGTTCTCTATCCATTTCCTACTTTATCTAAACTCAACAGAGCTAACTGAAAAAACAAAGAAAATTCTTCCATTTGAGACCGCGTGGATGAATCCAGAGGACATGATGCTGAGTAAAGTAAGCCAGACACAGAAAGACAAACACTGCATGATCTCACGTACATATGATTCTAAACAAATCAAACTCATAGAAACAGAGTGTAGAAAGGTGGTCAGGGGATGCAGGATACGATACAGGGAGGAGATTTTGGTCAAGGAGTACAACATTTCAGTCATAAAAGAAGTTCTGTAGATCTAATATACAACCTGGTAACTACAGTTCATAATACTACACTGTATGCTTGAAACTTGCCAAGAGAGCAGGTCTTAGGTGTTCTAATCACAAAAAAAAAAAAAAAAAAAAAAACTATATGAGGTGAAAGATAGGTTAATTGTGAAATCACTCCAAATGTACACATATAATTGTCCCCCCTTATCCAAGGGAAATATGTTCCAAGATCCCCAGTGGGTGCCTGCAACCACAGATAATGCTTAGCCCTACATGTACTATGCTTTGTCCTGTACATACAGATCTATGATAAAGTTTAATTTATAAACTAGGCACAATAGGATAGCAACAATGATA